TTAACGATGTAATTCCTCGATAGTCATGCACAGCTCGTTTCCTTATTTTTTTTGTGGACGGGAAACATGTGCGCAAATTTCCAGCAAGATGGAAATATGCCACTGGAGAGAGACATTCGGAACAGGTGAAGAAGCGGAATTAACAAGCTATATGTCTCTTCAAAAATACAGATGGAACACCATCAGGTCCAGGATTGAAGGATGACTTGAACACAGTCGCGACCTTAGAAATCATCTCAGCATTAACATCAATTGCACCCAGCGTTTGATCATTTACTGGAACGTTCCTGGCAGCCAGGTTAATATGGTCGTCAGTTAGTATCTCATTAGTGAATACACTGACAAACTTGACCAATCATTCGCTTTGATGGCGTCTATGTAACTCTTTACTCCTATGCTAAAATACCGTAAGCAGCTGTTAGCCACGATTCACTGTCGAACTTCTCCTTACCTTTTCACTCCAAAGAAAAATCCCACAAGGGACCATCCATAAATGACGTTGCATATTTTTGATCATCCCCCTGGTAGCGTATTTTGCTATACACAGCAAAAAAAGTTGTTGAATATTACATCGAAACTGCTGCAACCAGGTTGTGTAATATCACATTGTACGATGTACATCGATTTTGCGAACAAAATTACATCCATTGATGTAATATTGTATCTGCTTTTTGCTATTACATAATTATTTCATACATCAGTCCCTCCCCATGGACATGGAGGTTGACGGTACTGAAGCAAAGGGCTATGTTTAATTTCTTTATATTTGCAACGATGATGATTTCCTATAGTGACACATATCACCTTCTTAATGCTTCAGTATGCCTCAAACGATTAATTCTTGGTTGTTAATAGAACTTTCTTGATGAAATCGGCTGCTTCATGCAGACTGAGCAATTCTGATTATAATATCAGATTTGTTCTGTATACAGAGGAACTGGGAGGGCTTATTAGAAACTTCTCACCAATAAAATAATGATCTTCTAGTAAATTTTGCACATAATTTTAATAATATTTTATTTTTTAAGCAAATTATTTTTGTTACAGTCAATTAGCATTAGCATACGATACAAGAGGTTTAATATTACTTGCTCGTTTTTGCGTAAAATAATCAATATTTATTTTATTTGTAATTACCTTTGAAAGTTTTTTTCAAGTTTTTTTTTTTGTGATCTGAAAATTTTCCCAGTTTGGTTAGAAGTTTCGAAGCTAACGCATGTCCACAGGCCTAATAGAAAGATAGGCAGAAAAAGTGAAGAATGGTTGCATGCAGGGTTGCTTCCACTCACTTGCTATAGATGAGTGATTTTCAGAGTTTTGAATTCGTTAGATGTTGTAATGGAGATTTGTGTTAATAGATGCGGGAGGGGATTGAAGGGCGGGTTGAGCTTATCAATTTCGCTTTCAGAGTGTCGCAGTCAGCGGTTTTATGATTCGTGAGCGCTCGTGATTCGTAGAATCGTTGATTGTGACTGCAAGTGGATTTGGCGGGTTTTGTGTGTCGGACGCTTGCTTTTTGGCCTCTTCTTGTGTCTAACATGTGCAGAGTATCATTATAGCGTCTAATGGTTTTGAGATTCCTGGTTGCGTGAAATACATTTGTGAGAATATCTTTTTGAGATTTAGTAGTCACGTTTTGTTTGTAGTTTATATTTTATTTCTTTCATGTAATTATGGTAAATAATAGTTATTCAATAATAGTTAGTTCATCCATATATTCGTACCTTGACGCGAAGCGCTGTGGATTATGAGATGCCCGATGACCCTGGAGGGATCGATTTTGCTTACTCAGCAGAAAATCATGGATTTAACCCCAAGCTCTTCCACAGCACAATAAGTCGCCACCATCATTTGTATATTTGATATTGAACATTAACCTCGGAAACTATTTGCATATTAAGCGAAAACGCAGTCCTGTATTGTCGCAAAGCGTTATAGTTCTGAGATGCTCGATGACCCTGGAGGGATCGTTTTTGCTTACTGAGCAGAAAATTATGGGTTTAATCCCAAGCTCTCCGTCATGACTCTTAAAATCCATGATCACTAAACAAAATGAATATGTTCTTTCGATAGCCGGCTATCGAGAGATTAAATAAACAACAAATAAACAATACATCCTTTTGGTTGCATCGCCAACTTGAGGTGAATCCTAACCGAATACCCTACCCAACCCTCCAACTCCGTAGCACTTATGAGGGTGTCGCTAAGTCGGTGGCCTCTCGTTAAGTAAGTACTACATCAACATTTCCTTCCCTATCCCTAGTTATGGTAAAGATGGGCGTGGCCGGGAATAGCGACAGTCATGCTTCTGTTACTCTTGTTTAGATTGGAACCAATGTTTACTCCCCAGCATTATTCCTGAAAGTAGTCTAACTGAGGATTTCAGAAGAGACGTGAGTGTCGCTAGTATCCAATCTACGAAGTATACCATAACAACGCGTACATCATTATTTCATACATCAGCTTGAATTACGATCGATATTACATTTTTTTTGCTGTGTACATAATACATGGTAGGTCACAACTTCAGGATACATAAGTAAGTTATTGGCCCCGGACCGATAAAGCAAGCTTAAATGAGGTAACGTCGGAAGCTATTGAGTTACTACCAGCAACAGTGGATCCAAAGATGAATACTAAGATGAAACTGTAGGAAGAATTTTTTTCTATTTTAGTGTCCTCTTTCACGGTCCCTTTCATCCAATGAATACCCCCCGTATTCAAGGTAATTTTGTGGTTTTGCTGCCCCCTCGGCAGAGATGAAATGTTGCGCTCATTTTTATCAAAACAAACACACCAAAATTAGAGGTGTCCCATTTTTTAATTACTCGATTAACAACTAATCGATTTTTTTTGTTCGCTGTGCTGCCATATTTCCACCAACGAGAGTGCAGCACATGTTTGAAACGATCGGTGATGATCCTGTGGAGAAGTTAATGCTTATATCGGCATGATATAACCGATTACAAATATTTTACTTTTCGGTTCATTAATCGATTAATCGATTATTCGAATGAAAATCGGCCATCACTAGATGAATGTGAAACGTCATTTCAAATATATGGACCGTACATAAATAATGATACAATTTGAAAGGGACCGGGGCTCATCACAAATTACGTCCACACGGTAACTGAAATAAACACGAGTGTTCACCGGTTGGTGGATCAGCCGAGATTCCAAGCGCTACAGGCGAGAAAGAAGAACACGGAAAAACAATCAAGAGCTCAATTATAAATAAAATATTAGACCCTCGCTTCTGTAGAGCCTACCAAATAAACATTTTGGGAAAAATCCATTGATGTTACCATGCCATCAATTCAACAGTGTTGAAACATTTAAATATAACTTATAAACTATTGCAAAAAGCAGATGGTTGTCTGTGATAATTTATATTACTTAGCACATTGTTATTTCTTGTATAACGAAAACCGCTTTGCTTATAACGCAACACGTAGGATCTCCCCAGTCTTAACATGGCATAAGAGATTTAAGCTGAAAGCACATATACATTCAGTGAATCTTTATCGATACCTAGTGCTGTATCTAAACTTCGAAATAATGCATTGAATCCAGAGTAACAATACATCGATGCGATCCTATGAAAACAAAACAGTTCATTACGACTTGTTGAACAAATAATTGCATCTTAGATAACAAAACTGACATTTAATTTAAAAATATTGGGTCATAATTTGGCTACCAGTCACTACATTGGATAACGCACAAATATACGAAAAATACGAGACGTTAGAAAATAGATTTCAATCAACAGTGTACGAAAAAATTTCAGTTTAATACGTTAGATAGGTATAAATGATAAGATATACCGTGTTGTACGAAATAATAGCACAAGGGCCGATTTTCATTCATACTGGCAAATATTGACATGTTGTAACTCTGTTTTTCTAAATTGGGGATAATGCTTTAATTATGTTGAATATTGCATGCGCGAAAATTTATTGAAACGCCTGTAGAAAAGTGAGACACCAGGTAAAATTGGTCGAAATACAAGTATTTTACGAGCAGAAATTCTTCGTACAGAGTAGGGTAAGGTGGGGCAAGATGGATCAGCTTGTATTGCGCATTTTGCACCAAATTAGACTCCTGTGCAAAAAATAGTTGCACAGTAATATTTTCGCACAGGCCAGAAAATTTAAAAATCGACTTCTTTGAAAACAGTAACAGCTTTAGAACATTACTAGCAAGCTACACTGTTGAATTAAAGCTCTAGAAAGCATTAAGAAGGTCTATATTTAACTTTTATGACCAGTGCGAAAATATTACTGTGTACTTATTTTTAGCGCAGGAGTCTTAATCAGGTGTGAAATCCCCAATACATTTATTACTTTATGTGTTTGTCAAAATCAACAGGTTCAATGCAACCCCAAATACTTTTTCAAACCAGCATTCTGGCTACTTGAGCCTGTTGATGTTGACATGTTGACAATCGAAAAAAATACTCAAATTCAGTGGATCATCCATCTTGTCCCGTGACCCATCTTGCGCCACCTCACCCTTCATATATAATTCAAAATATAGCTCAAATTATAAACTTCTAAACGTTTATAATTTCGAACAATTTTACTTACCTGCAAATGCTCCGCTAAATTCAACATTATTTGTAGCTCAATTTCAAATTTGCAGTTCAATTGGTTATAATACAACATTTCAGAGTTCTGGCTGATATGAATATCGACCTGCGCTAATATTATTCCGAACAGCACTGTTGGGATGGGGCGTGCGTTCTAGCATATACTGAAAACGCTAAAAAGTATTGTTACAATTCCGGATAGACATCCAACATTCAAACATCGAAGGTATCTTGAATGATTCCAAATGCAACCAATACATCCAGAAAAGGAATACAACCAGTACCTGTAGATACTCATAATCATGGACCTTGGTCGGCTGCACATCCAGACATGTGTAATTTGGTTAGCATAATTTAGATTTAACCCAAAACTATAGTTTTATGCTGTGTTTAAATATGCACTTACCTGTTTTTCCATATGAGATTTCTGTCGCACTGGCTGGAAAACAGATGGTGGAGCAGACGACTGAGTTGATGTGGGTATGTTGTCAGTTAATTCCAAACTGTCCCCGACACTTTTTGCGAACGTTGTGGTTTTGGCTTGTTTTCTAGTGGCATTGTTCTCTCTCAACTGCAAAATTAGCATTTTGAAGATTTCCCAGTGTCCAAAGCTAAGATTAAGTACGGATTTAAGCTCATCCAAGCTGCAGTAAGTTAGTACGCGACCAGATATTGCATTTTCTCTTAACACGGGGGACAGCTTATCTAGTGCCGGTTTAAGATCACCAACCCGAGCCAACAAGTCGATAAGCTCTTCCGCGGTAAGCTTATCAAGTTGAATGTTGGAGATATCAAAATCGATCGGTGGTGATCCACGAGATGAGGGATTCTTCAAATGCTGCTTGGTGCTCGCTGATTGCGAAGAAGTACCATTGGAATGATTATCATTGGCGTGCTCGATGAGTATGCTAGTAGAGTTGGTCTTTTTCAAACTGCTGTTATCGGGATGCATCAGACTAGCCAGATTTTGGTTGTAATAATTCATCATAGCCATGGCGGGCGGTGCATTATAGAAGCCAGCCCATGTTGGAAGACTCGGTGGATGCTGTGGTGTTGGATGGAGGATATGTTGATGCGAATGACGAGTCGGAACAAAACTGTGTGGTTTCATAGAGGGGAGCGTGCTCTTAATAGGAATGATGATCCCTTCATCCTCCAATGCTTGCTGATCTTCTTTTAACACTTTTCTTAAATATGGATCTAGATTGATGGTGAAAGGCAAGAATATTCGCAAATCCGATACTAGAAGATCGGACTTGTGCAACTGTAAAAAGGCATCTAGTTTGCGTTCGTCTCTGTCGAGATCTAGTAAATTCACTGCTTCTCTCAGGCAAGCAATTTTTGGCCGAACCCTGTAAGAAGTATATAGGTACATATATCAATAAACAACGCTGACAAATATCAACAGTTTTTTCATACTTATCGTAAACCGACTGTAGTGACATGGAATCTTCAAAGTTATCTCCGGCTTGATCATGTTCCAAAACAATCATGCTTGCACGTAAAGGCCACTGTTCCGTTAAATTAATCCAAGAGCTCAGCCGGTACCAACTAAAATCTATTTTGAATGCCTTCAATAGGCGCACTAGAAATATAATACTTGTAAAAGTTGCAGTTAATGGGGATTATATATTGGTCGACATACCTGTAATGTAAATAACGTTCATCAACCTTCGCATACTACGAGGATTCACGTCACTGAAGTAGTCATCAGTTAGGACGATCTTTGATAAATCTACCGGTGGATTTTGACCTAGTTTATGAAGATTTGATCCAATAGAACTTGCAATCGAATCTGAAACACGTAACTTTTTACTTCCCGCCCTCGACGTTCCAGGCATAGCTCTGAGCTTCTCTTGGCTGGACATAATCTCAGAAGCATTTGACAATCTTCTAGCAGAAACTGAGTGTCCTAAATGTGAATCATCATCTCTGGTTGAATCAGGGACAATCCGGCGATATGTGGCCATGGCAGTACTTTGAGCTCGCTGAACTTTCCGGAGACCTGAGTTCTGCAGATAAACTGGGAGATGAACTAAATTTCTGAGAAAATCGTGCCCTCCTATGCCGCCTTCAGTGAACAATCGCCTGCTATTAGCTTCGGCGGCTTTAGCTATAACGTGAGGATCAACGGCTAACAGCAACACGAAAGGTCGTTGTGGCGCTGAAAGCAGTGTTTGGATGGCGTTCAATATAGTTAACGTGCGTTCTGTATCACAGGAATCCAGAGCATCCACAACTCCAACTAGTCGGCTCTGTTGATTCGTAAATGCATCCAAACAGCGAATCATGTCCGTCATCAAGCTTACTTCTGCACCTAAGGCGGTCAGTGGTGCAGCTTCGTTGTTGTTGAACGCACGTTTTAGATGCTTTCCTTGCGACATAAACAATGCACCAATTAGTTTTGACCACGCGTGTAAATTAGCTATTGTGCCTGCTAGTAGGAACCCAATAAGGATATATATGGTGACGGCAATCTCATCCCTGAGAATAAAATTTACTTTAACAATTAAAAATGGTCAATTTCATCGGCAACTAACCTTCCACTACTTCCGTACTCCGAGTAGACAATAGATAACGAAGCAGTAGTAAGTACACCTAGTATTCCCAGTTCGAAAAGTAATACAACAGGCACACAGCACATACGGCGCCATTTCCAACCTCCACTAGCTTTCACTAAAATGAAAACAAGAATTTATTGTTGAGATTGATGATGGTCACAGTTCAACATCAATGTATATTTACATACATGGCTTTGGTCGAAACGCACGATACAATCCGGTCGCCAGTGATCCATAGTAAGCTTCGATGGCATCGAATATGGAAGCTAACATCAACGCAATAGCAGCATCTCCATTTGGAGCGGCACCACTGGCCTCTGCAAAATGAAACCGTACGGGCATCGGTTGGGAATCATTTTGCGGACCGGGTGGATGACAGAATGCAACTTGTAGAATCAAACGAAGCTTTCCTAGCTTTTTCGATAAGCCATAATTTAAACTATAAAGCCATTCTAGATCATACCGTCTGTCCAGAAATTTAAACAGATAATTAATGAAATAGATGAGAACCAACAATGAAATTCCGGTAGTAAGACCCAGGATGTAGCTCCAGGTAGTGAGACCAACGACGGTTCCAATTACCAGTGCAACGTGAAGACAAACCAGAAAGAACAAGAATGGAGCTCGAATTGGCGGTTCAGACCACTGCTGGGCAAAACATTTCATTTCCTCACGTAGTTTAGCTAAAAGAAAGCTTTTGCCACTGCCCCATTTTGCATATAATCCAACAGTAATAGGAGTTGTCAATGTAGGTTCACTTAGTACATCTGCTAATGCTGAAGAATATAATCCATAGCCTAACATTCCTTCCGAGTCCTCATTCGCATTAAGGCGCCGTGCTCCGAATACTTGTCCCAGAATCGTCTTCTGATGCATTGCATCGATACCATATGGAGTTTCTCCCGCTTTATTTGAACGGTACAGAAGTTGGCTGTATTTTGGATTGCTAAGCAATGCCTCGACAATCGCTTTCGAGCGGGCTCTCATTGCTACGTGCAAGCATGTATCTCCTCGTTTATCTGCTGCACCAACCTTAGCTTTCCGTTCCAACAACATTTGCACCATTTCTAGATTCCTATTACGTACCGCTCGCAAGAGCGGCGTGTCTCCATCTTTAGTTGATAGCTCCAAATCTGGATTGGATTGTAAAATCAGTTTCACTAGTGTAGTGTGTCCCTTCTCAACAGCGGTGTATAAGGCAGTCTTCCTATCTTTTCCCTGTATATCCACGTCAACGTGACGCTTCAGCAAAATTTCTACAACATTGCGGTATCCTCCTTTGACGGCATTTATAAGAGGTGTGTCACCAGCACGGTCCTGCACATTCACATAAGCACCAGCGGCAATCAAAGAGGACGCAATCTCCGTGAGGCCTTCTCGACATGCTATCGATAGTGCAGTCATCCCATCTTTGTCCAGTGCGTTGACATTCGGTTTGCGGTCCAGCAGCAATGGAACACATTCCTGATAGCCACCGCTAACAGCAACCAAAAGCGGAGTCCACGAGTACATACCTGCTGTATCGACGTTTGCTCCAGCTTTCAGAAGAGTGTCCACGATCTCTGCATTACCTTTTCGACATGCCCAAACTAATGGGGTTGTTCCATACTTATCACCCACATTAGGCTTGGCTCCGCCCGTATTAACTAGCACTTTGACAATTTCCGTATGTCCACGACCTGCGGCCCAGAGCAATGGGTTTAGGTGATAATTGCCATGAGCTTGAACATCGGCTCCTTTATGCACCAATAACGAAACAACTGATGTGTGTCCTTTATAAGAACCCCACATAAGAGCGGTCCAGCCACCCATATCCCGATGTTCAATGTCAGCGCCATTATCGAGCAGGATTTCGACTATATCTACGTTGCCAGCTTTGGCAGCAAACAGAAGTGGGGACCAGTTGTCTAAATCCTGTGCTTGGACATCTGCTCCACGTGCAATCAGCTCCTTGACGAAACTCGTGGCACCACGGCCACTAGCGATCATTAACACGGTGGTACCATTCTGTAATACGATAGAATTTAATACAAATCATCTTTGTATATATATTATTAAAATTCGTCTTTTACCTCATCACGGTCATCGACTTGCAGTTGGCGTGTGCCGAGAAATGACTTGAGGCCAGCTAAATCGTCCGATTCCAAATACTGAAGCAGAGCTCGATGACTCAAAGAGCCCATTGAATCGCACCGATTCAATGCCTGAAATGAAATCACAGATATGACGTAGAAAAAGAGCAAAGTAAAAACTGAGTTAGCAAATTTCGCAAAAACAGATCATTTCCTGCGTAAGGTTACGGATAAAAGAAGATAAAGGGTTCAACTCAATTCAAACGTACAAAACTCAATGTTCTGCGCAGTATAAAATAGCAGCAAATAGGTAGTAAAAATATCGGCAAGAGGATAGAGAAGAAAAACACTAGTTTGTGGTAGTTAGTTGGCATTATAATCTGTGTAGAGAGAGAGAGAGAGAGAGAGAGAGAGGAGATCTCTGGATAACGAGAATCAGTTGTCAGGCTCGATTTTAGAATTGGTAATGCAGGTTGATGTTTTCGCAATTCGGAATTACATTAAGCTGAATATAGACTGATAGGACTAATCCGGTTAGAAGAGTGGAAAAAAATACTAGTACAACTAACTAGAGTAGCGTTGAAGGTGTGCCATACGAGTTCTACACCTGCAGGGTGCATAGAAGCAAAGAACAAACAAATTGCACTATTTTAAATTAAACAAAATGACAATAGCAAACGAAATAAGCAATTTAACGAAACCTCTAAGCTGACAAACAAACGATATGACGGATGAAATAACTTCGATTCGAATGAGCTTTGATGAATGAGTATGGACATAGCAGGGTAGTGAACTAATTCGGCATAAGCGACCATTTCCGTCATATCGAGCAGAAACATCAAATTAATATATCCATGGTTTCGACGTGAACGAATCAATCATACGTTTGGTACGATAGTATAGTAGTAAAGCTACAAAACAAAGCCTATAAGAACTCTGCGGTAAGGGTTAACTCTTATGTTCACCTTGCAACTTCGGTACACACTGACTTGGACACAACTCAATAGGTTACGGCAACGGTTCACTGGCACTGAATTCTGGTTTGAAAGATATATTGCCACGTTGGGAGATAGTTTGTTACTGTCAACTCAGCAGAAAAAAAAAACAGACAAAATTTGCATAACATAATTTTCTTCTGTTGTAGTCGCTTGGTGGTAAGACTACACTCAGAAAATTTTTCACTTAGATGTTACATGAAAACATATATAGATTTTTTCCATCTTGCTTTTCACGTAAATTTTACGTTTTTCATATGTGGATTGGTTTGAAAGTTCTAATTTCAATCCACATACAACTCTAATAGGTAGTATAGGATTTGGAAATAAATTTCACTTTATTTTCATGTAGCATCTAAGTGAAAATTACTCAAAGTGAAAAGATCTTTGCCCAATCCACTAGAAAACAACATAGATTTTATGGTACTTTCTAAGTGAATTTTATTATGATTTCACTTAAATTTTACTAAGTTTCTTCGTAGCATCATCCATTGTTAGGAATTTAAAAAAAATTCGAGATAATAAAAATTGTATTGTTCAGAAAGCTGATAATATATTCTTATTAAAAAATACCATACACGAACGATAACCCACATAATAGAACTATTCCTCAAATGGTTTGCATAATTACCAAACACGTCGTTAAGCAAAATAACCATAAAATTTTTATTAGGGATGTCTTATGTGTTCCAGCAGCTTCCGGCCAGCTGCCCTTCCTTTGCCAATCTTTCGGGTGAGATCATTCCTCATAACATATCATAAATAAATGGTGCATCATGACAAAAATAAAACATCATACTTATCAGAAAATTCAACAAATCCAATGGTATTTGTGAATGCAGCAACAACTCGTAAGCAATGCACCGTTTGGACGCCATGTTAAGTTTTGTTTGTGCCATCACCACTCAGGAATTTTCACACTATAAATCCATGTAGAATCTAAGTGAAATTATCTTACATGAAATTCATATGAAACTTATATATATATATATATATTCATCTAAGTTTCAAAGCGTATTACATTGCTTTTAATACGATTTGTAATAAATTTTATTAACGTCATTCACGTTACAGAAAATTTTTAATATCTGAAGGTCACGTGTTTTTTCCAGTAAAATTTATGTGACAAATTTTTTGAATGTAATATATTTTGATTTCTAGTAGGTAGGGTAGAGCGCTACTTCGTCGTAATCGCCCATTTCCGTTCTATCGATCAGAAAAGATCAATAATATCAATGATTTACCGTGCACAAATCAATAATAGGTTTGTTCCGATGCGTTAGTTCATTAGCTACAACATTAATCCTGTTAGAGCGCATTGTATGAATATTTACACTCATTGTTCTCAAAACAAAAGAAGCGTTTCTAGCGAATCCCCTGTTTCTACGTTTATCCGTAGGACGAAGGAAATCAAATGGCGTTTCAATGCGTTTTGACGGAATTGAAACTCGTAGGACGGATTTAGAGTCAAGAAGCAGTATTAGATTTTAAACAATATCTCAACAATTTGTGACTCTTTATCAAATCCAACGGTATGTATGGAAAGGTGAATAAATTTAGAAGTCATCTCTGAAAAAAATATTCCATTTTTTGTTCAAATCCGTTCAAAAACGATAGGTAAAACGCGGGTTGTACTTAGTAGGATGGAAATTAGATCAAAAACCCTATTGATTACTTCATAATTTTTATTTATTTCAGGTGGAATGACTACTGGTCGACCGAAACAGACGCTCTTGGGCACGTCACACCTTTGTTATGGGCATAGTATCATTTTAAGCGGCGCCGGTGTTTTAGTGGTAAGCGTTAGCTCTCACCCCAGCAGGCCTGGGTTCAATCCCAGTCGGTGCCGCCGGGATGTCGGTGCCACGGGAAGTAAAGCCGATGGTCCCCGGTTTATGAGTTGATAGGTCGATATGTAGGGTCCAGGTGTGGGAGCCGCCTCCCTGGCCTGGCGTCAGTGTATCATTGGTGCTCAGCACGGAAAACAAGACCGACGGAGAATAAATCAAGGAAAAAATACATTTCATTTCATTTTAGTATAGAGCATGCTGTCCTTTTGTTTTTTTTTCCTTTGGTTTGTTTTTTCCGTCGATCTTGTTTTCCGTGCTGAGCACCAAAGCTACCGACGTGCCAGGAAGGCAGCTCCCACACCTGGACCCTACCTATCGACCCATCAACTCATGAACCGGGGACCAACGGCTTTACTTCCCATCCGAAGGAAGGCGTGATCAGAGATGTTATGCCTCAGATCATCCCGGCGGCGCCGATTGGGCTTGAACCCAGGCCTGCTGGGGTGAGAGGTAATCACGCTTACCACTACACCACCGGTGCCGTTGCCCTTTTGTTGCATTTTGCCCCGCATAGTTGAAAAATCTAGGATTTAGACGTTGTCGAAACTGTTTCTTAACTTTGCATTTTATATTCACGCATGGAGTAATACAAACATGATTAGTTAAAGTTGTAAGTATTGCAAAGCTGCGACTGAATTTTGAAAAATCGTAAATGGTTTTAACACTTTATTGCGTGAAATCGCCGAAAGCGACTATTTGGTAACTGGTTGCAAGAAATGCGGTTTTTTATGATTTTAATAGATGATGATGATGATGATGATGATGATGGTCCCACCTCTTACCCCTACAAAGGTTTGAGCTGGACGATTTATCTTTAAGATAATTAAATATGACATTTTAACCAGGTTGGCAAACAAAATCGAACTGGTTTCAGTTACAGATATAAATTCCCTCTAGAGTTTACAGTTGCTTCACAGCGATATAAATGTTGAAAAGCTCAGGTGTCCACCTCTTAGTTCACCTTTTTGTCAACCTAAAATATTCATAAGTATTACAAGCAATCAAGAGTTACAATCAACAAAGCATCCTATTACACTAGTAACCCCGCAATCTGATGCTATCATAATTTTCAGCAATGTCAGGAATGCTCACGAACCCCCAACATTTGCCAGAAAACTTACTACTAACTCAAGGTATCTTCCAAATAAGCTTCAAAATTGCATTTTTTTTTATCAAATGTTAAATTCAGTCCTCTATATCCGTAATACGCGCGCGAGGCTCAAACCTTTGTAGACTACTATTTTTTTTTACTACTACTATTAAATCATATATCAAAAATCCATCATCACCATCGTGGCGAACAAAACAGTGCTACAATAATTATTAAAAAGTCGTTATAACAGCTATCCATACAAAGTAATCCGTTAAAAATAACTTCGTCAAGATACATAATTTGTCAATTCATAAAAAAAAAATCACTGGATAACCGTTCAAAAGACAGTTTTAACGTGTGAAATGCAATGTCTCTTAAATTCTGCTAATGTTGTTGAACGTTTAATGTGTCTAGGCATCGAATTGAAAACATTTATTCCTTTAAAAAATAATGAATTCTGTGAAGCACAAGTCAAGAAATGTGGTGTTCTTATTTCAACCGCGTTTCTAGTATTATATCTATGAAAGTCACTTCCTCTTTCAAAGAGATGAACTAGCCTCAGGCTAAAAATCTCTATAATAAAGAAAAAAAAAAAAAAAAAAAACTTCCTCTTTCAATTCGATCACACAAATATCGAGGCAGCAAACCGTTAACTACTTTAAAAATGAACACCATAGTCAAATATACAATTCTTTGCTTCACCGACAACCATTGTAAGGCGTCTAGCATCAAAGTTGAGGAAGTGAATCTATTACATCTCAAAATCAAACGCATTATTTTATTCTGCAAGCGCTGTAATCTCGATATTTGTGTTGCATTAGACAGAAATAAAATGGATGGGCAAAAGTCTAGATGAGGAGAGATGATTGATTTGTATAGCTGTATTTTACTGGCAATAGTTAAATCGTTTTTCAATCGACATAGAATTCCATACTTCTTGGCAATTTTCTTGATGACATTGTCAATGTGAGAGTTGAACTTAAGTTTGTCATCAATAATCACGCCAAGATATTTAATCTCCTGAACGCGATCAATAGTCTCATCATCAATTACAACAAAGACGTTCTCATTTAATCGATTCCGCGAAATTAACATAAATTTAGTTTTACTTGTATTCAATTTTAACTGCTTACACTTCAACCATCTACTTAGATACTGCAAATCTTCATTCAAGTGTGAGATGGCAACTTCTAA